AATAAAATAAAGGCATGCTGCCGACCTACAATCAATCAATCGATCAATCAGTCAATACTATGCTGCAATACTAAATTTAGGTAGATCACAATGTATTGTCAGTCACTTTTGTAGCCTTTTATATGGACTCTTAAAAATACAAATTTAGTTAGTACTTGAAAATACAAACATTTCCCAAGGTCATTTRTTTAAAACTAAGTTTTTCATCAATTGCTATTGAGTCTTCACACCATAAAAAATATTTTTTATTAGAAAATCAAAGTTGGCTTATACAATTTTTTAAATATATTAATTTAAAATAATCATTTTGGGGGCAAAATTAAAACTAAGTCTGTAAGAGTGTAATGGTCTCCCTACAATAGTTAATGAAGCAGCACCCCAAAGGTTTGGAAGCACACAACTCATATCAGGCTAACGAATACACAGTTTTAGGAGATCCAAAGTTATGGGTTTATACTTTATCTTAGATTATCATTTTTAGCTCAAGTTGCAGTCTTCCAGCCCTTGTACTAGAATCATCAATTAAATCAGTATAAAACCAGCCAGTATTAAGCACTCAGAAAAGTTTAATGCTGAAACCAATCAATCGTTTCCTTCAGAAATTAAAAGAAAACTTGAGRAAGGAAGATGATCAGTGGTTGTCTCCTTATCACCTGTTTTTAGTTTTAAGCCAAGAAATATACTACCCAAAACATGGCTACATAAAAATGTTTGTTTTGTGTTAATAATGTTACTACTTCCATTTAAAAAATATTTTTAAGTTATTTTGGCAAAAATTTGTAATATTCATCATGTACAATGTGGAGTTTTGAACATATATTGAAGAATGCTGCTCATTAACATGTACATGACCTCACATAGTTGTCATTGTAATAAAAATACTTAAAATCTACTCACATTGTTATTAACTGTAATCATCTCTTGAACTTATTTCTCCTGTCTACTGAAATTTCATATTCTTTGTTTCTTTTTTTTAAAATATGAATGTTATCCTTGCACAGGTGCCGTGCTTATCTTCTGTCATTCCAATTTTAGTGTATATGCTGCCGAAGTGAGCACTTGAAATTTCATATTCTTCAAATATTTCCTTAGCTCCACTCCATCCATCGGTAACCAGCATTCTGCTCTCTGCTTCTATGAGTCCCACTTGGTTAGATTTCACATATAATTGAGATCTTGTGGTATTTATATTTCTGCCTGGCTTATTTCACTTAACATAATATCCTTCATGTTTATCTGTATTGCAAATGACAGGATTTTCCTTCCTTTTTGAGGCTAAATAGTATTCCATTTTCTATATAATTCACATTTTCATTGCACATTTATCCATAATGGACACTTAGGCTGATAACTTTTTTGTTTTTATTGTTTTGTTTTTATAATATTTCAGGCACTATGCCACGTGTTCTAAGTACCTTATTTAATTGTCACACCAGTTGGTCAAGTGAAACACCTAGATAATGGATCCAGACTTTAAAAATGGTCTTTGTCATTACTTCATTTTTTAAAGAGTGTCAATCAACAATCAGTGAGCTTTGCCCACGATAAAGACTCAGTATAATGCTACTGCTGGTATGAGACAGGTAGAACTTTCCTAATCCACCTTAATTCAGTGTCATGGAAATGTCAGGAACTCAAATTTTGTTATTTCTAGCCCAGGTATTTAGATCACACTGTTTTTTAAAAAGACTATAATCTTGGGGCTGGGTTGTGACTGAGTGGTAGAGCACTTGCCTGGCCT